GATCTGAAGCACTCTCAGGCATTTAGACACAATGCATTATGGGTAGACACTGGTGGGTGGATGCCCCTTGTGATGAGATTGTCTCTGCTCAAGCCTGGTGCCAAATGCATCTCTCAAGCTTGTGTAATTCATGAGAATGCACTCACATACGGTAACTGATTTAACTCTGCAGACAAGCCCCGACCGTAATGGGCCTGCAATATGATCCAGGCAGCCGTGCGCCTCGGTAGTCGGTTGGAGACAGAGGATGGGGTGGATGCAGCAAAATGCAATCAATTTCTTGTCTGATAGATACTGCAGCCATAAGCTTGGTGAGTATTAATGGTAAACTGCACCAGATTAGCCTAATGTCCTGCTGACCAAGGCCATTTGATATTTACCCCTTACAGTAATGCCAATAAGAAACAATTGTGGAATGCAATGTCTCGAGATCTTTACAGACTGTTTGGGAAATGTGAGTTTTCATATAAATGAGGACAACAGTAAGCTTGGGAGCAGTTTCAAGCCACCTTATTTAGTTTTATGGCAGCGTTGTTGTTGCTCGCCTCCATTCTTGACTTGTGGTCCCATAAGGCTGCACTATCCATTTAGCAGCAATCCTTCTATAAAAGCCTCTCTATTCACCCTGCATACGCTGCAGGAAAAAGAAGTGAAGATGAGAGATGGACGGAGAACAGAAGTGGATGCAGGGGGAAAGAGGCGAACCTCTTTTAATTGTAATGCAGGGAAATACTCTGCTTACTCTGGTGTCAGATTCATGGATTCCCATTAGAAAGCCACTAGCAATCACACTGCCTTCAATTAGCCTTTTATTGCATTCGGTAAAATGTATTTGCAGCTCAGTTGAATGATTTTGTTATTAATCAGGATAAATTAGCTACTTTGGAGATACAATGAACACAAATTATTGCTTCTGAGAATCGTGTTTAGCTAATTATGATATTCAGATGTAAATACCATCCCTCTATGCAAACAGTGTCTCATTGGTGATCATTCTTTTTAATAGTATGCCAAGCTGATGGGAAAAGGTTGGAAATTCTATACATGAGTGAAAGAATAACGTGAAACGCCAATAACAGGAAGATGGAGATATGGTGACCCCTTGGGAGAGTCAATCTTATTTTATCGAGTCTCTGTCAAGTTACAGGTACGCTCTCAAAACCACAGTAGTGATTGATAGAGTTTGGAATGAGAAAATGCAGGATTTTTTAATTTTTTTTTATACACGCACACAATGTGCATTTGGGTGGGTGTATCTCTCAATGTAATGTCCAGGTCAAATTTTGAAGCATATTGCAAATTATCATAATTCAAAATAATATAAATGAGCATTACTGTACATGAAAGGTTTTTCATGTTTGAAAATCTTTTGTTATATTTCTTTGCCACTGATGCACATGTATTACAAAATGTTTGTTTTCTTCATACAAAATATTTTTTTTCGCTTTGATTTCACTTTGAAATATGACCCGGACATGTTCACAGGGTTTTTTCACTGGAGTGGGAAGTGATTTGTGTCCGTGAACTGAAGGAGACCCCTGGGCTCGAGGGCCGGTGATACATTGGACCGGTACAGCCCTGCCAGGAAACAGAATAGCTAGAGGTTGGTTTGCGGTCTGCCAGTGAAGGTCAGCAAGATGTCATCCATTCAAAGTTTTACAGACTGCTTCATAGAAGAAAAGAATATGTTTGATTTTCAGACATTTATTTAAATTGACTTTTTAAATGATTAAATGATGCTTTTAAAGCTCCGCTTCTCTACTTCTCACTCAAGCATTAAAGTTAGGCTAGGCAATTTCGGAGAGGCTAGCATTTTGAAAGCATAAGATCCCACCCTCCCTTCAGAGCGTCTCCAAAGCCACGTCTCCTTCAAAACACATGAACCCATGAACACATGAAGTATGCCGAGCGATGGTGTAAAATTAGCTTATGTCTCTTATTATATTTACATTTATTCATTTAGCTGTCGCTTTTATCCAAAGCGACTTTCAATTGCTATATATGTCAGAGGTCACAAGCCTCTGGAGCAACTAGTGGTTAAGTGTCTTGCTCAGGGACACATTGCTGTCTCACAGTGGATTCAAACCCAGGTTCCTCACACCAAAGGCATGTGTCTTATCCACTGTGCCATCACCACCCCCACATTACCTCTTATGGACATAAAAAAAAGGGTTGCCATCTCTTAAAGGGGTCATATAATGCCTTTTTTTTACAAGTTAATATGATTCTTTAGGGTCTAAATGAAAAGTTTTTAATGTACTTTAATTAAAATTTTTCATTAGTATTGTAAGAAAACACTAATTTTACCTTGTCAAAAACAGCTCTGAGAGTGTTGCCATGACAAGTTATATAACAGCTTATAAAGACAACAAATCGAGATCGAGACATTTTGGCTTCACTTTTGAGGGCTTGTGCGGCACGCTTGCAACAAATATAACAAGTTATATTTTGAAAAAAGAATGGCAGTGGAAGTCTCTGAGGACTCATCTGTGCAACCGTATAAGTTTGAACCGGAGTCGGACCCGGAACAAGATGACGGCCCAAAGAAGGTTGACAATTAAGGCTCGAACAGGACCTTTCTGAAAGGTTGGTTAACACAAGCCCCTTTCACACAGAGATTTCGGAAAATACACGGATAATGTGACCCGACATTTGTCCCGGGATTGTTTGATTTCGGTTTGTTCACACTGCCAATGATTTACCGGGATCTATGAGTGCGTTCACACACAACCCGTAAAAATCCCGGGAAGACGCATGACGTCAGAATGAGATGTTTAATTTACGCAACGAATGTACACGCGCATACCGTTCCACAAAGCTGGTCAACAATCTCAGCTTCAGCGCGGATAGTGAGGAGCTCCTGGTCTCTGATTCGTTCCAGTTTGCAGACATTTGTTCGTCCTTTCTATATTGATGACGAACACAAACTTTCTTCTAAGAGCAACAGAGTCGTGCGATGGCACTAGCGTCATCACTATGACACGCCCCTTTGCGGCATTGGTCCTGGCTTTTGTTCACACAGTACGCATTCCGGGACTAATTCCGGCAATGTTACAAGGTCCCCAACCCGGCATCAATGCCGGTATCAATCCCGGGTCGTGTTTGCGTTCACACAGAAGGCGTTCTGGCAATTTCCCGGGATCAATCGCTATGTGAAAGGGGCTATAATGTCACTTTGATCTATCTTTGTGCTGCATGTACTTGCAGGGTAGAGTAGTGAGATGTGAACGCTATGTGTTTACTGATGTAACATATACGTACACAGTTTGTAATAAAACAATAACCATAACATGCTGTTCATTATAAACGTGGGATTATGAATTATATTGAGAACGTTGTACATAGAACATGGATAGTTGGTATACTATTGCAACGCATTCTCATCCTTTAGCATCATATTAAACGCTATATGACAAAACGGTGCTACACTACGCACATGGCACCCGTTATCGTTAATATAACACGTGCTGTGATGGTTAGGTTTAGGTGTGGGGTAGGGTAGTCTCATATTACGCGAAAGGAATTATGACGCCTTGGGTTCGCGTGAATATTAACGATAAAGGGTGCCATGTGCGTAGTATAGCGTCGTTTTGTCATAGCGTTCTATGTGACGCTAAAGGATGAGAACGGGCTGACTATTGGTATGGAGCAGCTTCTTAGCAAAACCAGCTTTATACTGACCCTTGTTTATAAAGCAGTCTGGTGAGAAATGATTCGCACAAACATGAATGTGGGGAATATTCTGTTCGAAAACAAAACTCAGCCACTGTGTCTTTAGCGGTTCGGATTTAGGAACATCAAAATGACTGTGTTCGTTATTACACCCAGGAACAGAACCCCACAATCGCTTAGACGCCATTCTGATCCAGTGTATCGACAATGACTATGATGACAGCTCGCTAAGGGCGGGGAATATACGTTCTTTGGTGAGGATGTTGAAACGCTGCTGTCAATCAACAATTGTGGGAGGGGCGTCACGGTCAAATGGCTCAATCTGAGACTAAGGAGATTAAAACAAAAACACTGGATGGATTTTTATCATTATATAATGGTTGTATACAGGCACTACCAACACACATTTCAGTACAATCAACTTGAAAAAGAGCATGTACCATTACGGTTATGACATGATGTGAATGCAACATAAGCTTGTTTTTTAGTTCTGGAGAAACTGTAAAAAAAGTGCTGGTGTTTGTTGGTGGCTCTCAGTGACTGTGTCTAAACTCTGCATAACTGAACATGTTTTAATATTTAGACCACTTCTATTATTGATTGCTTGATCAGGATGTGAAGAGAGTGTAACCAGTATAACAAATTCTGTCCTTTTGTTCAGCTATAGTTGATCTTTGGATATTTCTATGCGGTCATAGGCTGTTTTGATGCATGAACATCTATCAGTTAACAAAAGGGGTTCATGTACACTGTTATCTTTTTGAGACAAGGACTCAGTCCTTTGTGGTTTTAGCCAAGTTCTTTGTCCAAAAAACAAAACAAATCGATAAATATAGTTCAAATGGTTATTTAAATATGGATTCTCTATGTCTTTGAAAAGGTCAACATGATAAGGTCAAACTGTCAAGCGGCTAGCTTGCACTCGCACATTTTAATATGTTTCACTGTGTGAAGTGGACGTGATGCTTTTTTTTTTTATTTCCAAGTTTGTGAGTTTCATTTCTTTTGAGTAAATGGTGCGTGTTACATGGGCTCCTTAAATGGTGGCATGAGCATCGACTTGTGTAAAATGAGAAACATCTGAGGGGTATTTATAATATCTGCATTGGTTGAACTGCATAAAGGGAAAAACAAAGAATATCTTTGTTCACTTCAGTTCTTTCACCTTTGTTATCAGGTTTCACACATCCTGATTCTTGATCCGACTCTGCAATCTGATACCTACAGCAAAATTGAACCGACTCCCAATTTGACTTCTGTTATCATTTTGGCTGTCTTTGTGTGGTCTGTTGACATTTGTGGGTTTTGTGGCTTTGTCTTTTTTTAAGGTGGCCCATCCGGATGGTCTTCTTCTCACTGCGACTGCTGCTGCAAGAGTCACAAGAGCGAGCGCGAGGGTGAGAGCGGCACTTCCTTAAATGAGCTCTCCACTTCCTGTTCCGAGACCCAATCAGAAGCCAGCTCTCCCCAGGAAACGGTCATTGTGCGTCCGGTCGCCCGCCAGCCCAACATCCAGACTTTGGACCGGCCGGTGAAAAAGGGTCCGACCCCGATCCCCAGGAGAACTGACCTGCTTCGTGTGCGGACCACGGGGCCACGTGACGCCATGGCGGGGAAGAGGAAACCGGCCAAGGAGAAGATGACCCCAGAGCAGGAGCTGGAGAAATGCATCCAAGACTTCAGAAGGATTCAAATTCCAGTGCGCTTCCCGGAGAGGAAGAACATGTGGCAGTCCGAGCTCTTGAAAAAATATCAGCTCTGAAACGATTTCCTGCAGGCTCACTGAGCCTATTAGTGTGCAACACAACAAAGCTCTCAGCGCATAAGATGACATCATAAGTCTTCTTTGCTCTGGCTTAATTGGCTCATCTGTGTAATCATGCAGCAAGATACACAATTAACAATTCAGTGAACCTCAAGTGACTCCTAAAGGGACCAGTCCTGTTTTTCTACCAAGCACAATGACATTAGACCAATTTCACAGCATCTATTCTAGACAAACCCAATAAAAAAACAGATTGTGTATATACAAAAGAATCACAAGTGTGTATCACCTGTTAATGGGATAGTTCATCCAAAAATGAAAATTAGCCTATGATTTACTCACCCTCAAGTCATCCTAGGTGTATCGGCGTTCTTCTTTCAGACGGATACAATCAGAGTTATGTTGAAAAATGTCTTGGCTCTTCCAAGCTTTATAATGACAGTGAATGGCTGTTTCTGTTTTGAAGTCCATCCATCATAAAAGTAATCCACACAAGTGACTTCTGTGTGAGTTGTGCTTAATACATCTACTGTATATCCAAATAACAATGGACCTTTTTATCCCCACACAAAATTTCGCACCTTAAGACAGCACAAGTGAGTATGTTCCTGCGGTAGACGGATGACAATGCATGTTATTTCACTCATACAGAGTAATGGCTCATATCAATGCATTTAATTTGTGATGTGATCTACATTATTCACCTACAGTATTATTCACCATTCATCCAAACCCAGCTGAAATACATCACGGGGATCGGACTGAAATATTAGGCTGTTTCTGTTTGTCCTTGTGAACATTTGTGCTGAGATTTTGATTTCGCTTGTAGGTAGGCCTATATGAGGATTTTTTTGTTTTGTTTTGAATGTGCAATTAATCATTAAATGAACTGGTTCAAAATACAATTTGTTCATTTCAGTTGTTATAATCCATTAGAGTAGGAGTAGCATTTAAAAAGGATCCTTGACAGACTAATCAAGGGCTGCTTGTTTCTTGTATATGTATGCAAAATCAGATCAAAGATGCGAGAAGGTTGTCTCTTCACGAATGTGGCAGATGACCTTAACCTTCTCTCCGAATTTAACAGATTATGAGCTTTGCTGAATCTAATACTAAACCGCCGACAAATCTCTTTGCAACACCTTCCAGCTGTAATTCTGCTTTCTGCTGCGTGATATATTAGTTTTCTCTTTTTCTGTCACTGTGACAGAAAATTGTTAATATAAAACATGCATCACAAATACCATTTTTAACTGACTATTTTTAGCTATAAGATTCTGCAGTGTTGCTACATTTCATCTGCAACAGAGATGCTTTGGGACAGAAGCATGATAGACTAGGAGAAGTGTATGAACTTAATCACAAATCTGCTGGAAAGCATCTTGTAAAGGTGACACTAATGTGTTTCAAATGTACTATCATTCAGATGTTGGAATACAAGTTCTTTATGCTGAAGAAACGCACTGCAAATCTAGCCTGGAAGTTTAGATGTGTGGGGTTTTTTGCAACATTTTTGTGTTGTGCTATTATCATGTTGTGAATATTTGTAATCTAATTCATATGTATAGTTTCTTGACAAATATTTTTGGAGGGATATTCAGTGTAGGCTAGCTCTATTTAAATGTTTTCCAAGCAAAACATCAAAACCCAGCGTGCATACTAATATACAACTTCAAGACTCATTTAATTGATTTTGCAGTTTAAATATTTCAATCAGCATCAAAGACATTCGTCATCTTCCTTTTCTTTTGATCCAGCTTCAGTCTTGTCTATATGTGCCCCATGTTCAAAAACCAAAATGACCCCTCCATCTATTCCCTGTGTCCATATAATATACTCCCAAACAGATCAATGAAAGGGCATGGGAAGGATCCGAAATGTGGTCCTGTGCTCTGACACACCGCTTTCTTTGAGAATCAATAGTAGAACCTCCTAAGGGAAGTTCAGTGTGAGTAACATCCCCTGGTCAGAGGAAGAGCAGATGACCACTGAACCAATCCTTGCTTTATTTCATCAAACTGTTCTTAGAAAGTTAAGTTGAGAAGCATAAAGGATTTCTGTAAAGACATTGTGCTATTATTGAATTAGTATTAAAATATGAAGTAAATGTTACAGTTTGTACATGATTATGGGTTACATGAGATCTAATATAACCATAGTATGCCTTTATTTTCATAGTAAACTTCACAACAAACCTTTATCACTCAGTTTAGGGCTTTCAAATATGACAGATTATATTACGTGAGCTTAGAATTATAAGATTCTATCTCTGTTTAGGTTAGTTCTGAGATATTTAGCATCAAAGTTTTTACATCCCAGCTGGCAAAACTGTTATGTAGTATAATCTTCTATTATAGTTTTATCTATTAATCTTTTTTTTTTTTTTTTTTTTTTTTTACAAAAATAACATTGATAAACATGGATCAGATTATGTCAAAAACTCAATTTCGACCAAAAGTGGAGATATAACCTTATAATTCTAAGCTCACGATTAGTTAAATTTATAAGAAATATTTATTATAAATACATGGATTGGATACATGACTCAATCTGTGTTTGATGTTGCAGGGTGTCCCGAATGAACAGATTTTGTTAAGTGAAGTGAACTTAAATAGCTATCCCCTGCTCAGTAAGTAGAAAGCAGTGAACACAATGTAGGGACTGAATGAACAGAATGCAACACTTTGTTCCAGAAGTAAAAATGCCATTAATTTTTTTTTTCTCTATAGAAGATATTATTTTTAACCATAACTTATAAACCAATCTACTTTGAGCTCAGCGGTTGTTAATTTGTGGCATATGCATTTGTTGAAGTCATCAGTGTGCATTATTTCTATTTATGTTTTTTTTAAAAACAGAAATCATTTGAAAAATGACATTACCCGTGATTCAGCAAAGATATCATCAAAAAATAGAAACAAGTAGATAATGCCAAGAGAACGCTCGCCCAATCCCAAATCCCACATGATTAACTTGCTTTATTTCAGCATTATGCAATTAAGTTATTCCAAATTATTGTAGTTACATTGCGTCAACTTAATTCATTAAGGTTGATTCAACTTATTTACTATGTTTGGGCACAGCCTAATTTAATAGTGTCAGTAAATTTAAAAAGGCTCCCTGTCCCCTGATATGATTCAGGTATTCAAATTCATATATTCATTCATCCAATGCAATATAATTTATTTTAGTGTCACACTAATCAATTACTAGACTATAGCCATCTTTCAGCTACCAATAGCACTTTATTGCATATTAAATGAAAATATTTATTTGATTCATCCACCAAAGCAAATGCTGTGAATGTTGCAGAATCAGTCTTCAGACTAACCAAATGCTCCACTCTTCTCCACAATGGCAACCCACTGTAATTTAAATGGTTCAATAATTGCAATGTAATTGAACATTAAACACAATTACACACTACCAAGTCTTCCCCTTTTCTAATTTCCCTAAAAACAAATAAAATAACACTTCATTTTAACATGTATTCTCTCTTAATTCAACCATATGCAAAGCATGCAGGGAACTAACAAGCACTGCCCAGTTTCAGTTAATGCAACACAAGTCATTCATGTAATCCAACTCAAACAGATTAAGTAAACTTAAATGTTACATATATTTAAGCAGATTGAACACAATCAAATTAAGTTTGGACTAAATGTATAGCAATTGTGTTGCTTAAGCTAGCAGCAAAATTATTTAAACAAACGATTATGAAAATGATTCTGACCCTCTGTCTGAAATGATCGTTTTTTTAAGAGGCGGCTCCTTTAAGGCTTGTCAGTAAACGCCCACTGATATGATTGACTAACGTCATTGGCATTGCACAGGAAACAGTATCAACACCCACTCGTAAGAGTTTTGAAAAATCATTTTCAGACAAGAACTCTCCATTACACTGTACCTGGTATACAAAACAAAATGTTCACATCCGGGACACCAAACCATTGACTTGATTCCAAAGCTGAGATCCTACTGAAATCTGCATGAAATGTTTACGGTGCATTCGGGCATCGGCATCAACGCTTCTCATTTACTTTGAATGGGTCATGTGTTACTGAACTGAATAGTGGGTTCCGTTGTGTCATGTCACTGGCATTGCTTGTAGCACAAGCTGAAAAATTTTCAAGTGCCAATGCAAGAATCCGATCACCTTTATGCAAATGAATTCGTTGAACGCGATGTGTACATCCAATAGAAGTAGAGCACGTGGAGTCTCTCGCGGATCACATTTGTTGTAGACATCCTGCTACAAAAACCACACCCATACCGATAAACTTGAGGGACACCCATCATCTTACGTTGTGGGGAGGCGTTCATTTTAGTCTTCAATTGTCCTTTTGTCACAGATTTAAGTGTATAGAGTAAATCAGAAACTGAACACGCATCTGTAGGCTATACTTTATCCCGTGAAGACAGCGCCAGTGATTATAATGGGTTCTGTTCGCTTTCGAAGCGAAGCTCACATCCGTTGCAGGCAAGTGTCAGGCGTTAAAGGGATACTCCACTTTTTTTTTGGAAATAGGCTCATTTTACCACTCTCCCAGAGTTCAAATCCATTCAGTCGATTTTCTGATATTTAGAAGAATATCAGTAACCAGACAGTTTCTGGTCTCATTGACTTCCATAGTAGGATTGGAATGTATTGATATGGCTGAATATATTCTAAAACGGTAAAACTCGACTGTTTAACTCTGGGGGAGTGGTAAAATGAGCCTATTCCCCAAAAAAAAAGTGGAGTATCCCTTTAAGAAACTGAGCGGCGGGGCCTATGTAGTGATGATGTATATCTAGCCTATTCATCAAAGTCTTGCTCTGGAAATGTATTTGCAAGCCGGTTTTTGGAGCTTGATTAAATAAAGGTTTTACTTATAATGAGGAGGACATTTAATCTATGAAACTTGCAGGATGATTTAATGGTAAAAATACCTATTTTATGCACTTGTATAGATTGAGGAACAATTGAGGAATATATTGTTTCTAAATACATACTCAACATCTTAAAGTCAATAGTTTTATATTTATCCATCATTTTAAAATCAATTTTCATTCAGTGTCCACATACCATTTGGTGTCACTTTGTAGTATAATATAACTGTAATAATCAATCAGCATTTATATAATATAGGAAATAATCTCCACAATATGTCAATAGAGGGCCACGAATCTGTAAAAGTACATTTTTTCAGCATCTTGGCATGGCATGCTGAAGTGACAGGCTGTCTTGAATGATGCATTACAGGACGTCAGGTTCTGTTCTAGCATGTAAAAGTGTGTTATGTAATATATTTATTTTAGCTGCAGCATCTCAGTATGAAGCACAGAAGATCCTGCCTCATAGCAACACTCCTAGAGTCACAGAATAAATGATATGGTTTATTTGCCCTCTGATGATGGGTGTTTTCGAGATTCAATGGTTATGCCACATGATTTCTCCAGCTGAGCTGTATTATCATCCCCCCTTCAGGTCTCAATCAAAAAACTGTGTGTTTTTGCTTACAGCAGTCCTTCATTAAATGAAGAAAATCATTTTAAATGGTTTATTGTAGAACTCAGACTTCAGCCGGCAGTCCAGCTTTTGGAAAGCGTAACCCTTAAATGCCTGATTGTTTCAACTATCATTATTACAAATGGGCTCTACGCACGGCGGTATTTCCGGTGAAGGTGTAAGGATGCTCGATAACTTCCGTCGATCATAGAGTAATGCAATAGCGAGAATTTATATTGAATTTTATACTCCATGGTTATACTAATGAAACGTTAGTCACAAAAACAGATAAATCAGACACCCCTCGTTGTGTTTGCTTCTTTTTAAAATTATATTAAATAAACATAACTATATATAAAATTACATCTAAACGTATGTACATTTCGTTTCAAAGACGGGAGGACAGTAAATATTGAAGACTCTGCCATAATCCCGTTTTCTCCGGTTTTCCTCCGCTTTAATCTACACAACCGGAAATGGACGAGCATCCTTGCGTCAAATGCGGATCTTATGCGTGCATATAGCCCATTCGGGTCTTTAGTGACCCAGATATATTTTTTAAAATGGATTGATCTCATATGTCAAGATAATATAAAACTCTACTTATATTAGAGTAACAGTTACTGACAAATTGAATTAGGCTTATTTTGTTACCTTTTGGAGCTTGGAAAGGTTTAGTCTGAGCAGAAATTTTTTTCCCATCATCACTGTCCTCGTCAGAGTTCACTTCCCAGTACATTCAGTATACGGTTCATTTTTGTGATCTCAAACAGAACGCTTCTCATGCTGTTCTCAAACATCATATTTTCTTCAAGATCAATATTTTGATCGCTGACAGCTTCTTCACCCGATCCACCATCAAGTGACAGTGACACTAATACCTGATCGTGTTCAGTTCTTGCTCGGCAGTAAATCACTGAGCCATTTCCAGTTTTGCTGATGATACTTCCTATTCTTTTGTTTTCTGCCTGCTGTAACTATGAGTGAAACGTCACTTCATTATTGTGTGTTAGACATTTCCACCTTATTGTGGAATAAAGGTAAAAATATACTTACACTGTTACACACCTCGGTTAAGCAACCCAATACATTTTTTTTTTATTTACAAAAACTGAATGGGAAAACAGGCATTGTTTTATTATTTCTTGTTATATTGTTTATAATGAGTTTATAATGAGTTGATTAAAAAATATTAAGTAGGTTGATATCTAACTCTGTCCCGGGTCACTAAAGACCCGAAGTATGCGTTTAAAGGTTAAAGATTTACCCCCCAAGAATTTATATGTGTCTGTAGGAATGCATGTGAGAGAACGAGAGCTGATAATCAGATCATAAGAAAAACATAATTAATTCATAAACAGAACTGCAAATTTTTCTTTTTCACCCATAATGCACTTGACTCATTCAATAGAATGACTCATTACAAAATCTTCAAAATGTGGCCTAATTTTGCTCCAAACACTATTCCTGAATCAACATATTTTGTTGATCCTGGAAAAACATTCCTATCTGAAAATGTACTTCTAACCCTACCCCTACCCCTATATCTAACTCTATAAGTTATCCCTAAAATCTGAGGGAAATGATTGTCAACATGACATAAACTGTAGGAGCCATACACTGAGTTTGTTCGGGCTTTTATTATGTTTTCTCTTTTCTTTG